TCCCGTGGACCTAGAGAGCTCAAATTTGACAGAAGTACAGGGGGCAGCATGGGAACACTTATGACAAGTGGCAGGACCAGACTCCACCCACAGGGGGCAGGTCGTGCGCGATAGAAATTTTAGGTCGCAAATCCATAACTCCTGTTTACGCGGACCTAGAGCGTTTAAATTTGCTTGGATCACACTTTCCGTATTACCAGAGGAACCTCAGCGTTCTAATAGGTGATGCAAGATATGACGGGATCGTAGGGACTCGGTGCCAGGAGCTGATGATAACTGGTAAGAGAAGATAAAGGACCTAAGAGTGCCACCTACCGACCGAAATCCTAACATCTTCGGTATCTACGATGTAGCTTTGACCGTTCAGTATGTTTCATTTGATAAGACGATATGGTAGAACAGGGTGACAAAAGTGATTGGTAAGCGCAGCGATAGGGACCCATTAGGGCAATACGATAAGCAGCTTAGAACTTTGTTCATTTCTAACTGTCAGATTACGACCGCTACCCAGCAAGGTTTGTGATTCAATGAAGGATCCTCTTTGCTCGATGTCATTTGCGACAAAACTTATTCGACCGCCTGTAATCTAGAATTTTCAACAAATGATATCTCCGTAAAGAAAAGGGTCCATTTATAAAACATATCTGATAAAGGTGCTATCATCCTCAGAACATCTCCGCAGCATCATCTTTGATTGTCTAATAGCTGGGTTTTTTATGGCACTTATTGCAAAGAAAGAGAGCAAAAATTCGAGACTTCAATCGAAGGTGTACGCACCGACTTTAACTGAATACCATCTGCACTTCCCTGTTAGTCCTGTGTCAAATTTCGTGTTCAGGAAACTGCCATTTGTTCCAAAAAAGGAGTGGGGAATTATACTTACTACAACTATCAAAGAAAGAGGAAAGGTTTCAGTTTCTGTTGTATCAAAGAAGGATTTCGAGCTCTGTTTCAGTTTCATACCCTCACTCAGCTGAACACGGAAAAAAACTTATAGACCTAAACTTTTAAAAGGGGAATAAAACTCTTCAGCTCAACATTTCTCGGGATAGGGTGTTTGACACAAGAAGGAGGAGAGCCTGGCGTTAGCCGGGCGATCCGACTGGTAGTATGTTAAGTAGTGGGCAGTGCTCACCTTCTTACGTCACACTATTCGTAACACTTCAAGTTCACCGCACCAAAGCCCAATCAACGTCCAAGATCGGGCTTCGTTTAAAAAGAAAATAGGTACAATCTCAAGATTATGAACTTAAAAGTAACACTCCAAACAAAGTGAAGTACAACCAAGCCTTTATCAGAAAAGTTGCGCAATCCGCAGAAAAACAATTATAGAATATCATGTTGTGACAATACACATTCTCGAATAAATGCACACTTACTCTTCCTTGAGTATTTTTCAAAAGCTGATCAGAACGGATCGTCATATGTCGGTGGCATTAGGAGTGATATCGTCGTTTTCTTGAACATGTACAATCTATGAAGACCTCAGCTCTGGTTGTCTGAAGAGATTTTTTATTTACTGTACATTTTGAATCATTAGAAGGAACTCGAAAAAAAGGGTGTTCAAATCATCAGGTGTATTATCCACCACACCCATAACAATATGTTGGTCATATGACTGCTAAAGTTGAAAACGACACCATTCAGGACATAAGTTTGCCAATAACGTAAATGTACCTCGAAAGACGCTAGAATAGGAACAGGACTCAACATCAGACTCATACACTAACCATAACTGTTGATAACGTCGATAGAGAAACTGTATGTACTGCAACTAGGTGCAGTCTATCGACCAGACATCTGCCGATTGATAATACACTGTTCAAATGTGATGACGATAAAGTTTTGGACACTATCTGTTTCGTTTGGATATTTTCGGGCTACACTTGTTTCGAGCGCTATCAAAAAAAAANNNAAAAAAAAACTCCAAAATGAACTCAAAGGTAACGTCGAGTCCCTTTTGTACTACAAACTGCAATAAATTTCTCCATCTTTCCGAAGTCTGCCGTTGGCGGTATGCGAATATCCAGCCCTAAATAAAGACATGAAATCAGTTTCCGCAAAAAAGTCTTTTTCCTCGGCGGTGGTAATGTCGAACGTGGGTCAATCTTGTGAAATGAATGAATAATAGACTTACATATCGTAAAGGATTACCCGAGTTTGAAAAAACGCCGAGATCGAGATGATTTCGGCCAGTACAGAGTGGAAGGAGGAAAAGCAAGTTTTACTGGAAAACAATTGAAGATTTATCTGCCTCAACTATCAGAGACGCAGATTCTTTGGAGTGAGGGCGGGTTAGAAAAGTCGAATCGTTAAAAGAAGCATCGGCTACAGCTAGGAAGGAGATTGAGGCAGCAGTTAATGCGCGAGAGACAGTTTCAAGAGCAGTATCTGGCAGCAATGGCTGCGAGTAAGAAGGAGTTGCAGCAGCGCAGAAAAGACAATGCAGACTTATGTGCTCGAATCAATGCGCTATTGCACAGCTCCGATTCTGGATCCGAGGAAGAAGTTACATCGCACAAAGAAGAAATCGCTGAGTTGGTGTCATTCAACGGAAAAATAAATCTTTGGAAGTTGTAAAAACGCATAAGGACGGGTTGGAAATGAGCCACAAAACGATCGATCGTCCATCAAGGAAAAAAAAGAACTTTCTTCTCGACTGAAAATGAAGACAGAGAATACTGATATGTCGTCGTCAAGGATCAACGCCTTGAGAGATGAAATCAATGAGAAACAGGTTGAAGTGGCGAAGGCTCAGAGGGAAAAGAAGTTAGCCGAAGATGCTCAAGAGAAGTTCCAAGAGGACAACGTAAAATTGCTCAGCAATATCAATACTTTACAAGAAAAGTACAGAAATTCCGGGCGAATGTTTCTTCCGAATTCGATAAAAGAACACAAGAATCATCATGTTGCAAGAGCAAGTGAATAGCAGTCAACAGAAGATAATTGCCTTGGACACTGAACTGGGCATTATGGCCCAGAAAGATGTCGAGCGCTACAAAAATGCATTTTCCAACATGGCGAAGGCAAAAGAAGCGGCCCAAATCAGAGAGCACGAGGAAGGTGATTTGAGAAACAGGTTGAACGTTGCTTTGGAAGATCTGGAATTTATGGAGAGAGCGAAGGAGGAAGCTGAGGAGAATATAAACAACAAAGAAAAGATGCTGAGAAAGGCGATGGACACCATTACGAAATTGGAGATGGCTTCACAATAGTCAGAATGGTTCAGAGAAAAGACACGCATGACACGCCAAATTGAAGATCTACAAAGAGAGGGCTTCGCGAAACAAAAGAGGCTCTTGAAGAGCAACAAGCTTCGACAATGGGAAAGCGTGAGCAGCGGAAGAGGATGGCCGATGGAGTTGCACGTGAGCAATTAGAAAGGGTCAAGCAAGGCATCGACCTCATCCAATCTGCCCGAAATCGCAAAATTGAAGCAGGATCTTGAAGCTGTGAAGAGGGAACCTTCCAAGAGCAAGGAGAAGAATAGAAGATATAGAATGCAAAAGATTAACGGTATCGAGTACGTGATGAATTGAAGGGAAAGATAGCGAAAATGGAGAACGATCTCAAGAAAACAAAAGGAGAGCGGACGGACAAGAATGAAGAGTTGCAGAAGGTACTCTACAGCTCCTGCAACTCTCCATTCTTCGCCATCAATCAACTCCAAAGCTCAGTCGTAGGCCATAATTAACATAAAGGATAACCCACTGCAAAAGGATATTCAAAAGCCACAGCATTGCGGTCGAAAGAACAGAATACTTTATGAAACGAAGAACCGGAATACAAACAGCAGTAAAGAAGGGCATCCACCGGTCGAGTTTAAAGGGTTTTCTGACGATGATCCCCAATGTCCTGCTCATTTTTTTTATGAATCTTCTCTGTCGTGATAACTGTGCATGTGAACTGACTGTAAAAATTTTATTGATTACCAACGTGGCTTCGACTAACAGTAAATTAGCTTTAATTATAGATTGTATTTACTTACTTATACACTATGTTTTGTGTTCATGTTCACTACAAAAACGTCGATCTCGACTAAATCCGTTGTGTTGTACTTAACTATAATTTACATTATACTACTCCAGAAAATGCCACAATTCTCACTGATCTCTTGCTTTATTATTTACGGTGAATATCTATGTGAACAAATAGTTTGCGCATAAATTTAGTACACTAACAATTAGCACCGCGAGAAACTTTCCCAGCAACACCTAAGATTCGTTCATTACTTTCAACGACTACGATGATTTACAGAGCAGAACGAGTAAACTCCAATGAGAGAAAAACGTGCCGCTTACCAACCTATTGTGTAACTCGACCATCATATGGACCTATTTTGTAACACCGAGAGGAGCAGTTAGCTCCGCACAAGGAAAAGGAAGATAACAACAGAAGATGAACAGTTTCAGGGATGCAAAGGTGAAATCGAAAAGAAAATTACGAATCAATATTTAATATTAAAAGAATGAAAGATAAACTTTATGAATAACTTTTATAAAATAAATTTGGCAACACGCTACAGTCGATGTGCATATACCTCCATGGCCTTCCCTGCATCTCCAAGCTCATCGGCGAGATTGAAAAGAAATTGTTGACAACTGACTGCAACAAAGTGCATACGTAGCCAGCTAATGCGTGAAGACCAACAATCATAAAGCTGAAAATAAAGAAGTCATTTATTTTTCTCAAACCATTGTAAACCACTAGTAACAAGAGTCGCAGAACGACGTATCGAACTCACCTTAATCCGTAGTCCGCTCTTCCGTTTTTATTCTTACCATTAGACCAGTCGGGTCGCCCGTCTTACGCCGGGCCTCATTCCTTATTTTTAGTCACGAAATGTAGTTAGGTGGGAGGCATCATTTCCACCTAACCACATTTCAGCACTGAGGGCTAGAGTGCACAGAGGGAGTTGTAGTCGACCATACCTGTGCTCAGAGACGGTTCTAGGCGACGTACCTATGCTTATTGACCGTTCTAGGCGAAAGGATACACTTTTTACCCTAGTCTCAGGAGGGGAGGAGCGCCGAAGTGTGGGTGAGATGATTATCTCGGACAAAAAGCTAAGATGGGGTATGAGTTGAATATTCAACTTCAATTCGACCCACCGACATGGGTGCTACTTCTTGCCTGATACTTGGGTTTGAAAAACCGCATGTTCTCGGCTAAGAAACGTTCCTTAGCTTAATCATGGGCTGACCTCCTTATATCTAGCGCTTAATGATGAATGAAAAGCGGCAGTCTCTCAACAACATAATTATCTCCGATCCACTCATTTCACTCTGCAGTACTCTACTCCATCAACTTACCCACTAAGTCACTACTTTCAAGAAGGTGAATTTCCCACCCACACCTTTATCGTAATCATAAAGTTTAGCGGAGGGACAAACCTACAAACCGACACCCCAAGTTACTCTTTTACAAATGAGAGAGATATTCACGGAACTTGGGAACAGCAATACCTTCAGACATTGAAATACCTAAACAACTTACTCGTCGATGAACTTTTCTATGCGTTGACGGCATGCAGAGTGAATCTTTCAGATAAAAGCGGTGAAACTGAATCTGACAGAAAACTGCAGAGTGAATAAGGTGTCTGACGATTATCTTTCGAGGAGAAAATACTGACCGCTCGTACACTAATTTACGTAGCGTCAATTAGTGCTCTAATGTACGAGCGGTCAGTAGATCCTTCAATATTCTCAGCATTACTACTTCCAGCGAAAGAACTTGGGAACTGGTAAAACAAAAGTCCCGTATGTATTAAAATGATCGGGTGTATGGCCGCATTCATACTAGGTGCCGTGTACGGCACTCGAGCGCCGTACACCGCACTCGACTGCCGTCCACGGCACCAGTCGTACGAAACCAATCGATGACAGCTCCCATTG